ATCACCCACTATCACCACTACCACTACTATCACTACTATCACCACTACCACTACTATACACCACTACCACTACTATCACCACTACCACCACTACTATCACCATTACTATCACCACTACTATCACCACTACTAGCACCACTACTATCACCACTACTAGCACCACTATCACCACTACCACTACTATCACCACTACTATCACCACTAATATCACCGCTACTATCACCACTACTATCACCACTACCACTATCACCGCTACTATCACCACTACTATCGCCGCTACTATCACCGCTACTATCACCACTACTATCACCGCTACTATCACCACTACCACTATCACCACTACCACACTATCATCCCAACTATCACCACTACCACTACTATCACCGCTACTATCACCACTACCACTACTATCACCGCTATCACCACTACCACTACTATCACCGCTACTATCACCACACCACTACTATGACCACTACCACTATCACCACCATACATCACCACTACACTATCCACCACCACTATTCACCACTACCTATCACCAACTTCTATCACCACTACTATCACCACTACCACTACCACTATCACCACTACCACTACACCACCACTACCATATCACCACCATACTATCACCATACTATCACCATTACTATCACCACTACCACTATCACCACACTACTACACCCTACTATCACCCACTACACCACTACACTATCACCACTACTACACATCGCTTCACTACTATCACCACCACTCACCATGCTATCCTACTACCACTACCACCTACACTATCACCACTATCCCCGCCACTATCACACTACTACCACCGCCACTTATCACCACTACTACCATTACACTACCACTGCCACTATCCCACTACTACCACTATCACCACCACCACTACTACCACTATCACCGCTACTCTCTCTACCACCACCACTATCTCTACCACTACCACCACTACCACTATCACTGCTACTATTAGCATCACCATTATCACTATTATCACCAACATTGTCACCACCTACCATCACCACTACCCATTACCACCATCAATTATCACACTACTACATATATCATCACTACCACCTTTATCACCACTATCACCAGCACCACTACACAAAGAGCATTGTGGTTGTGTGGGTCTGTTGGCCTTAGTGAGGTGCGGGATCAATGCTGGCTCGGCTAGTGGTGGTGGTAGTGGTAATGGTGGTGGTGGTGGTGGTAGTGGTGGTGGTGGTAGTGGTAATGGTGGTGGTGGTAGTGGTAATGGTGGTGGTGGTTGTGGTGATAATGGTGGTGGTGGTGGTAGTGGTAACAATGGTGATGGTGAGGATGGTGGTAATGGTGGTTACGATGGATCACAATCATGACAACACTCAACAACACAGTGTTGCAGTGTGTGAGTACTGAGCAAGCATAAGGTCAACAACACACATATTGCCAGCTCTATAATTATAGTCTAAACTGAATAAGACAAGTGTCCAAGAGCTCTAGTTCATCCCCTATAGTAAAAAGTAAACGCACACATACTTCTCTGACTCCAGAGGTACGAATAAAGCTCTTGGAGCAGGGAGAGAGTGGACCTAGTAGCGACAAGGGAAGAGGCGGGGCCAGGAACTGTAATTCGACCCATGCAACCACAAATAGGTGTGTACACACACACACACACACACTCACCCACCTCCACTTCTCCCCAGCAGGTTCTGGCCAGATACAACTGTGGCAGTTCCTGCTCGAGTTACTCTCAGACTCGTCCAACGCTAACTGCATTACGTGGGAGGGCACCAACGGCGAGTTTAAACTCACAGACCCTGACGAGGTAGCCAGGAGATGGGGAGAACGCAAGTCCAAACCTAACATGAACTACGACAAGCTCTCCAGGGCGTTAAGGTCAGTCTTTTCTCCATATTTTGGTCAATTTTCAAAAACTTCTGGTGGCTTATATACAACCACAATGACAAGGTTTTGGTTTTCAGTCTTCAATGCCAAAACTTCAACTATATCATTTGTGGTGTTCAGTAATTGTGAGTTTTTAATTAAACAAAGTGTGAAGATCCGCAGTGTGGTTACCCTTCCGTGTGTGAGTTACATTGTGCGAACACCAACTGTGTGCTTTCGCTGTTCTGCATGAGTTACAATGGGGGAACACCAGTAGTGTACTTACATGTGGGAACATCCACAGCCTGTAACTACCCTATTCCATATCATAGTTACGTTGTGAGAACAGAAATTAGCTGTGTTTCCCTGTCATATATCATCACACAGGATGGGTAGCAACAGCGTCCCCGCGGTCCGGTCCAACACCAGTGATGTGTATCAGTATGAGCTGAATAATAAAACGGTATAAAATACCGACAGGTTGTTAGGTAAGACACATATGCAACAATTAGGTATCTTTATTTCGAAACGTTTCGTTGCCTCCCAACGACTACATTCTTACCTCTACCTGTGGCCTACATCTCACCTTCTGGCGGTATATAAGGACTTCAACTCCATATTGTTTCAGACTATGGAACAATTCTCTTCTCCAGACTGAGGGACTGACCACCTCAAAACTTCAAGAGTGATGGACTGATTACATCGTCTTCACGTCTCTTCTATCAACTTTTCTGTACTCGACTGAAGAAGTCTACTGTGTAGGCGAAACGTTTCGAAATAAAGATACCTAATTGTTACATATATGTCTTACCTAACAGTCTGAGCTGGGACATCACAAGAGGCGATGGGAATATTCAGATGACTACTGGTTCAATAGCAGTAATGTGCACAGGGCAAGAGTGGATATTTATTATCTTACTGTCGACAATGTAAAGAAGAGAACCAACCGATTAGCTGGGCCGTGGTTCGTACGTTGGTTTAATTGCCGCCAGCAGTAGCAGCCTCGTTGGTCAGGCCCTGATCCACCGGGAGGCCTGTTCAAGGACCGGTCCGCGGGGGCATTGACCCCCGGAATACCCTCCAGGTAGGTAGGTTACAGAATAGTTCCCAGTGAAGCCACTTAAGAGCCGCGTGAGTTTCCCTGTCTCCTAATATCATGCTGATTTTTCCCCCCCATAATCTACCTTGTCCATAATTACCATTGCATTTACTTTGCTTTCGTAAGGTGAATTCTTGGATCTTTACTTAATTCATGGTATAACTTTAGGATCTTTCTTTAATTCATGGTATAATATTAGGATCTTTCCTTAATTCGTGGTACAACTTAACAAATCTTTGTTCAGACCTCTGCATTATGATGTATTATGACGTGTAACAGCTGGGGTGGCTGAACTTAAAAGTGCTTTGCGTCTACTCAGTGGCATTCTGTGTACTAATTACTTCCGCTTCAAGACATCTTCTCTCGGTCCTGTCCCCACTTTTTTCTTGACGATGAGTTTACCATCCTGCAGTGTTATAAGGTGTGCATGTTTATACCGAGGAATTACGTCTTCTTGGTGTCGTGAGTTTCACACATATTAGTGTTCTTGAATACCGATGTTAAGATTGTGGGAAGTCTGGCCATTGTCGTATTTACCACAACCACTGATGTAATAATGGTTGCTACTGCTGCTGCTCTGGTGAAATCCATCAGGATTTTAGAAGCGCTGACGCAGCGTCCATACCAGTTTTCTTTAAAGTATATTCTAGACACTTAATCTGCAGTCCCCAATAAAGTTTGATGCAAGACGTAGCGTGGGGAACATTCTACTGGTTATGTCACATTTCTGTTGTATTCTTAACTGTATATTTCCTAAGCTCTCGGTAAGGACCCAGTCAGAAGTATGTTATAGTTTTGCTTGTGATGGGCGAAGAAGTGTATTAGGTCACTGTCAGTTGTCCTTCTACTTTAATAAGGTAAACACCAAGAAACAGATCTCTGTTTGTCTTGTTCTTCTTCCAGTGTGACCTGGATTGCATGTTGCAAGGCTGTTTCTGAAGCTCTCAAGGTTGAAGCTTATGGGTGTGATTTTATGGGCGTCATCCACATGTAGCCAGAAGATGGATGAAGGGATGATGCTGGAAAATTATTCTACATCTGAATGACTCAATGTAGAAGACAAAAGGCCTGCACTAATGGATGACCCCTTGGTCATACCGAATTATTCTCTTTAAAAGTTGTTGTTGAAGGAAGACCAGAATATGTTATCTACTAGTGGCAGTAATTAGTACAAAGAACAGCAGTTATTGGAACTAAGTCACTCTTAGCTTAGGCACTACTACCACAATAACATCCTTGTTGTAACAGCATAGCCTTTACCCGCTTCCTTCATGTATAACAGGATAACCCCCTTTAGATGCAACAGCATAACAAGTTAACCTCTTTAACCTCCCCCTGTAGGTACTACTACGACAAGAACATCATGACGAAGGTGCACGGGAAGCGATACGCCTACAAGTTTGACTTCCAGGGTCTGGCAGCGGCCACGCAGCCAGCAGGGGCTGACCCAACTGCTTACAAGTACCAGAGTGACCTCTTCATGTCTTCCTACCACCCCACCACCAAGCTTAACTTCATGAGCACCCACACCGGCATACCCTCCTCAGCAGGTGCCACAAACATCCTCTTGTTCTTAGTGTATTCCCCTGGGGGTAGGAAGGTCAGTTGGCTACAGTAAGATTCATCCAACTAGGTATATTTAGACACCATAGGGAGGTTAGCACGGGTCCCACTGTGGCCACAAATGCCAGTGGCCATACGCCGCAAGGAACTATGGAGACTTCAACCTCCGTAACGGTATCAATTATTTCGTGTGATGTAAATGGTATAGAAAACCCACAAGGTGAAGAATGATACACTTGTTCAACATTTGGAAAACGTTTGGCCATCCAGTGGCTTCTTCAGTCCAATACAGAGAAAAACGGTGAGGGACCGATTACCTCCAACTCCCCCCTCATCGTCCACTGTTCTTCTCTGTACTGGACTGAAGAAGCCACTGGCTGGCGAAACGTTTCCACAGTGAAGATGCCCAAGTGTTGTACATGTGTCTTATACATCAACTTGTCATTTCCGTATAACAGTAATATATAAATATTAATTATAATATCAAAATAAGATATTAATGATATCTGTAATAATATATTAAGAGTTTTACCTTAATTACCTCGATATTTTCTTTAAGTAACACTGAGTAATAAGACGCAGGTGCAACACCTGGACGTCTTTATTGCTAAAACGTTTCGCCCCTGAGCGGCAACAACCTTCTTCAGTAAATACAAGCGAGGTAGTACCAGAAACAGCGGCAGTTTTGCCCTAATCAGTTCCTCAACACTAATGCTTGTAGTGTTACATACCCTTGTGTTCCACTGAAGAAGATACACAAGTGGAAATATAAACACATATGCAGTGGGCTTTTCGCCCACTGTGTGGGCGAAACGTTGTCAATAAAGGATCACATTAAACTGCATATGTGTTTATGTTTCCATAGTGTCGGTATTTTATACCATTTATTTTCATCAAGATACCCAAGTGTTGCATTTCTGTCTTACTGATAATATGATGAGGAGGGGTAGGAGAGGGGAGGGTGATGGCAGGTTAGCCCTCCTGGCTTCCTCTCTCTTACCTCCGGGCTCTTCTCCTAGCCCTGGGTTTCTCTCCTAGCATCTGGGTTCTTCTTCTAGCCCTGGGTTCCTCTCCTAGCATCTGGGTTCTTCTGTTAGCCCTGGGTTCCTCTCCTAGCATCTGGGTTCTTCTGTTAGCCCTGGGTTCCTCTCCTAGCATCTGGGTTCTTCTGTTAGCCCTGGGTTCCTCTCCTAGCATCTGAGTTCTTCTTCTAGCCCTGGGTTCCTCTCCTAGCATCTGAGTTCTTCTTCTAGCCCTGGGTTCCTCTCCTAGCATCTGAGTTCTTCTTCTAGCCCTGGGTTCCTCTCCTAGCATCTGGGTTCTTCTCTAGCCCGGGTTCCTCTCCAAGCCCCTGGGTTCCTCTCCAAGCTCCTGGGTTCCTCTCCTAGTATCTGGGTTCTTCTCCTAGCCCTGGGTTCCTCTCCAAGCCCCTGGGTTCTTCTCCTAGCATCTGGGTTCTTCTCCTAGCCCTGGGTTCCTCCCCTAGCCCTTGGGTTCCTCTCCTAGCCCCTGGGTTAATCCTGGGTTCCTCTCCTAGTCCCTGGGTTGATCTCCTAGCCCCTGGGTTTCTCTCCTAGTCTCTGGGTTCCTCTCCTAGCCCCTGAGTTTCTCTCCTAGCCCCTGGGTTCCTCTCCTAGCCCCTGGGTTCTCTCCAAGCCCATGGATTCCTCTCCTAGCCCCTGGGTTTCTCTCCTAGCCCCTGGGTTTCTCTCCTAGCCCCTGGGTTCCTCTCCCAGTCCCTGGGCTCCTCTCCTAGTCCCTGGGTTCCTCTCCTAGCCCCTGGGTTCCTCTCCCAGTCCCTGGGTTCCTCTCCTAGTCTCTGGGTTCCTCTCCTAGCCCCTGGGTTCCTCTCCCAGTCCCTGGGTTCCTCTCCTAGTCCCTGGGTTCCTCTCCTAGCCCCTGGGTTCCTCTCCCAGTCCCTGGGTTCCTCTCCTAGTCCCTGGGTTTCTCTCCTAGCCCATGGGTTCCTCTCCCAGTCCCTGGGTTCCTCTCCTAGTCTCTGGGTTCCTCTCCTAGCCCCTGGGTTCCTCTCCCAGTCCCTAGGTTCCTCTCCTAGTCCCTGGGTTCCTCTCCTAGCCCCTGGGTTCCTCTCCCAGTCCCTGGGTTCCTCTCCTAGCTCCTGGGTTTCTCTCCTAGCCCATGAGTTCCTTTCCTAGCCCCTGGGTTCGTCTCCTAGCCCCTGAGCTTCTCTCCTAGCCCCAGTGTTCCTCTCCCAGCCCTTGGGTTCCTCTCCTAGTCCCTGGGTTTCTCTCCCAGCCCCTGGGTTCCTCTCCTAGTCCCTGGGTTGCCCTGTACTAGCTCCTGGGATACACCCTCCTGTAGGGACAACAAATTAACCACTAACACCAGCCGATACAAGAGCAACATCGCGTATTAACACATCTCTCTCCCTCTCCAACAGCGAGCATCTTCCCTTCTCCCACCTCGTACTGGACTAACCCCAGCGCTAACTTGTACTCCAATATAGCCGCAGCTTCGGGCCACACCATGACGCACCACCCCTCCCACATGACGTCACACATCTCCTCCGCCTATCCGCACTACGCATGACAGTCTCTCTTCTCCAATTGGTGCACGCAGCAGTCGCGCGACTCCGTCTCCCTCCCCGATTGGTCCTCGACCTTCCAGCAAGTGACCAATCTGGAGGAGCAGTGAGGGGGGAAGTTTGAGAGCAGCAGCGCTTATCCGCCAAGTGAAAAGCAGGTAACAGTGCAGAAACTGGCTTAAGAGGACAGATTGTCCAGTGTAAGCGAAGTTTTAGGCGAGACGCTGGTTAATGGTTAGGTTATTTTTAAGAGGTTAACTTAAGTAGTGATCCCCGAGAGTGCCGCTATTAGCCAACTTGGCGAGATTCGTGCGCCAAGTTGTGTCTGGACTTAAAATAGTGGCGAAAGTTGGCTAGTGACTGTTTGTGGCGACTGCGCTCTGGTGACAGCCTGGTGACAGCCTGGTGATGGCCTGGTGAGTGCCTGGCGACGGCCTGATGACAGCCTGGCGACACCCTGGTGACAGTGGCGTGGCCAAGGTGGGCTGGAGCTCGCCACACAAACGCTGGCGAAGTGTGGCTAATGCTGCTGGCGAAGTCTTCAACATGGCGGCGCGGCGCAGTGGTGACTGGTTCCCTCTTCGAGAAGTTGAAGGCACTTTTCGCGCAGTTTAAGTGCGCAGGAGGAGCGTGTGTCGTGACCCTGCTTGCTGCCATGATGGCACACCTCATCTGTTGCTTCACTTGCACGCTGCACAGCCATCTCGCAAAGTTTTTAGATGTTGAAGTTGCAACCTCTTCTCTAAGGCGCTAGTGCCACGTCTCTCCTGATGCCACTGTAAAAAAAAAAAAAGAAGTTTTTCCCGCGACGTTTCTCCCGCTTGTGCCACGTCTCGCCCCATACTGCCATTGCAACGCTTTTAACAGTGTTGCTTCTGCCAGATTACAGGGATGCAATCTCAAGTTGCTCTCTGCGCTGTTGCCGCATCCCTCGACTATGCTTAACGCGTCAAGGCACTGCTGCCGCAGCACATGTGGCACAGTGTCACTTCTGCGGCGCTGTTGCCACATGAAGCACTCTTGCCCAGTGAGATAATGCAGCGCTGCCACATCTAACGAAGCCGGGTGTCTTGCCTCCCAGGCAATACAGTGTTGCCACATCTTCCACAGGCTGTTACTTCATCAGATGATGCAACGTTGCCACGTCAAACGATGCAACGTTTCCACAAGAACCGATGCAACGTTGTCATGTCAAGCGATGCAACGGTGCCACATCAAGCGATGCAACGGTACCACATCAAGCTATGCAACGGTGCCACCTCAAACGATGCAAAGGTGCCACATCAACCGATGCAACTATGCCACATCAAGTGATGCAACGGTGCCACATCAAACTATGCAACAGTGCTACATCAAACGATGTAACGTTGCCACATCTAACGATGCGCCGTTGCCACATCAAACGATGCAACGTTGCCACCAAAGGATGCACCGTTGCCACATTTCATAAACTTCCTCTTACCTCAACAGAACAAGTAAAACAGCGTTGCCACATCTCACAGAGCACTTGTTGCCACATTTGTTTCCGGTATGCTTCACCCAACTCTGCAAACAGGCAGTGTTGCCACATCCATACCTGCCCAGCACCGTTGCCAAGTCCCACCGCATCTCCGTGAGGGGTGGTCAGTGTTTAGCCTACTGCAATGATGCCAGTTTTTACCCCTCGTCTAGTTTCGCCCTCTAGTCAACTGGGAAGGAAACATCAGCGACCCTAGGTGTGTGTGTGTGTGTGTGTGTGTGTGTGTGTGTGTGTGTGTGTGTGTGTGTGTGAAATCAAGCACAGTTTCTGGCCAAAATTTATTGTACAAAACAATAATGATAATAAATAATAATGACATATGCAAATCTGCCATTAGAAATATTATTGAATTATTATTATTATTACAAATTATTATTATTAATAACCAACAATAATAATAATTTTTTTATTATCATTAATAACATTTTATCATTATTATAATTATTACTGTGAATTATTACTATTAATATCGTAGACAAGTATAATCATAGTCTATAATAATTCTGACGAAAAGCACGTAAATCGGATCTTGCCGATTCGTAACGGGAACTGAAATCTGTGGCGAGGAGAATGTGAAGATCAGTGACTGTGAATGTGTGGTGAGGAGAATGTGAAGATCACAGTGACTGTGAATGTGTGGTGAGGAGAATGTGAAGATCAGTGACTGTGAATGTGTGGTGAGGAGAATGTGAAGATCACAGTGACTGTGAATGTGTGGTGAGGAGAATGTGAAGATCACAGTGACTGTGAATGTGTGGTGAGGAGAATGTGAAGATCACAGTGACTGTGAATGTGTGGTGAGGAGAATGTGAAGATCAGTGACTGTGAATGTGTGACGAGGAGAATGTGAAGATCACAGTGACTGTGAATGTGTGGTGAGGAGAATGTGAAGATCAGTGACTGTGAATGTGTGGCGAGGAGAATGTGAAGATCACAGTGACTGTGAATGTGTGGTGAGGAGAATGTGAAGATCACAGTGACTGTGAATGTGTGGCGAGGAGAATGTGAAGATCACAGTGACTGTGAATGTGTGGCGAGGAGAATGTGAAGATCACAGTGACTGTGAATGTGTGGTGAGGAGAATGTGAAGATCACAGTGACTGTGAATGTGTAGCGAGGATAATGTGAAGATCACAGTGACTGTGAATGTGTAAATAATGGAATCTGTAAAAATCAAATTTACCAAAAACGAAGGAATATTTTTTTTGTTATATTTTTGTGATGTGTGTGACGTCACTGTCACACTTCTTTTGTTGACATGACGTCGTGGACTTTATCTGTAACGTTATGAGCTTTATGTGACATCACGAACTTTATTTATGTGACATCATGAACCTTATGTGACATCATGAACTTTATTTATGTGACATCATGAACCTTATGTGACATCATGAACTTTTATGTGAATCATGAACTTTATTATGTGGACATCATGAACTTTTGTAACATCATGAACTTTATTTATGTGACATCATGAACCTTATGTGACATCATGAACTTTTATGTGATATCATGAACTTTATTTGTGACATCATGAACTTTTGTAACATCATGAACTTTATTTATGTGACATCATGAACCTCATGTGACATCATGAACCTCATGTGACATCATGAACCTCATGTGACATCATGAACCTCATGTGACATCATGAACCTCATGTGACATCATGAACTTCATTCGACATCATGAACCTTATTTATCTGACATCATGAACATTATTTATGTGACATCATGAACTTTTATGTGACATCATGAACATCATTTATGTGACATCATGAACATCATTAACATTATTTATGACATCATGAACTTAATGCGACATCATGAACCTTATGTGACATCATGAACATTATTTATGTGACATAAACTTCATGTGACATCATGAACCTTATTTATGTGACATCATGAACATTATTTATATGACGTCATGAATTATATTTGACGTCATGAACTTTTTTCCCCCTGACATCTTGTGTGACATCGAAACATGACTAAAGCTCTCTCTCCACCCCCACCTTGTAAATGATTTACACACGTACTTAACGTCGTTTACAACTAACATTCCCTCTACGACCGTTTTTGTACCCTCTCTCCGTTTTCTTTATTATAGTTTTATTGCAAAAGTCAGTACAATAAAGACAAATTATTATTTTTATTAATATCCTGCGCCCTTATGTTCCAGTAACAAATTACTGAGTTATTTTAGCAATTATTAATATATTGAACTTTCTTCTTATGTATAATTCCTAAATTATTTTTTACATTATATCATTTTAAATTACATATATAATATATATATATATATATATATATATATATATATATATATATATATATATATATATATATATATATATATATATATATATATATATATATATATATATATATATATATATATATATATGTCGTGCCGAATATGTAAAACTGGTCAATTAGCAATAACTCATTTAAAATTAAGTCCTTTCCAAAATTTTCTCTTATACGTTTAAAAATATATTTTTTTCATTAATGTTGATGTAAAAATTTTTAATTTTGCACCAAAAGAATCTTAGAAAACTTACCTAACCTTATTATAACAAGAACAATTTATTTTAGCCTAACCCAACTAAATATATTTTAAATACGTTTACAATAATTTAATACTAAACAAACACAATCAAATATATTTTTTTCGTTAGGTTCAGAATGATTTTGGCGAAATTTTTGCATACACAAATTTTCACTTGTCCTATATGGCAAGATGAGCGTTGCTATTTAAGCCAAGATCGCAAGTTCTGCCTATTCGGCACGACATATATATATATATATATATATATATATATATATATATATATATATATAATATATATATTATATATATATATATATATATATATATATATATATATATATATATATATAATATATATATATATATATATATATATATATATATATAACTCTCGGACCATTCTGAACTTTCTCTATCTCTCTTGGACGGGTTCGAAGCTTAAGCTCCGTGCGGGTTTAAAGCTTAAAAGTTCGCCCTGTTTGAAGCTCTAGTTCCAGGTTTGCTCCTCAAGCTTACTGACTCGCCTTTCTATTACCTAAGACTTGACATTTCTTTCTTTTTTTTTTCCTTTGTGGACTCGTTCGCAAGTTTTCCGAGGGTTCGAAGCATCGGCTCCATTAGAACGTTCGAATAGGGAGCAGCGAAATGTTCATTTCGAACCAATTCTCGACTCCTGCTGCTCTCTGACGTCCTGCCTATTTTCATGCCAATATGTGTGACCTATTCTGAGTCTTATTTTTGTACCCTATTTTTGTGCCCTATTTTCTACCCTATTTTGTACTCTATTTCTAGTCCTATTATTTAGTCTTTGTACCTTATTTCCGAACCCTATTTTTCTACCCTATTTTTTGCACCCAATTATTGTACCTTATTCTCATGCCCTATTTTCCCGTCCCATTTTTTCCCTGCCATGTTTGTATGTCTATTCATTTTCCTGCTTCAGGTCTTCCCTCACCTGTGAGAACAACTTACAACTGACCCACAAAATTAAGAATAAAAAAAATATTGAGTCCTTTTTTTGGCTATCAGTTATTAATTTTTTCCACCGTGAAGCGCTAGACCTACATGGATCGTGAATCCATGGAAAGGGGGGAGGGGAGGGGTAAGCTCCAATTACTTGGAACCTCTGGTAGAGTTTGAGTGTCTGATGATGGTCAGTGAGCAAGCGAAAGGTTAAGAGAGGGGGGGGAGAAGGCTTGTGATCCTGGAAATTGGAGCTGTCCTCTCCTTGGATCAAAACCTGGTGATCTCCCGTTCCTCAGATGCTGGATCAACCCTTCGCATTTAGCGCTCTCCCTTATGATAATGATGATAATAACAGTAATAATTATAATAATTATCACTATTATTTTTATTTTTATTACTGTAATATTATTATTGCCATTATTATTATTATTTCTGTTATTATTATTACTATTAACTGGAGATTTGTGTGATATTGTGGGTTAGTTGTGAATTGTTTGATCCAAGGTATTGTGACTCTGATCCTCCAAGGATAATAATAACAATAATATTAAATTACTAATAATTATAATAGGGCAACGGTCAATGTACAAACCTTTTATCGATATTATTAAAAAAAACTGTAGATAGGTTAGTGCCCCTTCCTTCAGTGTTGAGAAGTAAGTGAAGATTAATGGTTAAGAGTAATGGGGAGGGTTAATGGGGGATATACAAGGCGAGGGCTCGCTTCATTAATGGGTGTTTGTGTCCACTTGTTGTGTTGAATTCAATGTTTACATAAAAAAATGGAAGTAAAATTGTATATACCCAAATCAGAGTTTTATTTCCATCGGTTGGTTGATTGTTGGGTTGGAGAGTGTTATACGAGGGTCAGTAATGGCTGTATGGTACTAGTCAACAGTACTCTAATATCTAATATACAGATTAATGTATACTCTCAGTGTATATACAATGAGTCATACATCTCTCCGTATATATATATATATATATATATATATATATATATATATATATATATATATATATATATATATATATATATATATATATATATAATAACACAACACTAAGACATACACCTCTTCGTATATATACACTGAGACGTGCACCTCTGTGTATATATATACACTGAGACGTGCACCTCTGTGTATGTGTCCTGTTCTTTTTGAACCATACAAATAGAAAGTAGGATAAAGTTGGAGCCAGCTACGGAGGCCAGAGATTTCATTTGATCAAGTCAATATTTCATTAATGTTTGTATATGTGAACATGTTCCAGACTCGAGTCATGACAGGAATGAACGACCTCAGATGAAGTGATGGATTTAAAAAAGGTACAGCCAGATGTGGTTGCTGTTACTGCCCGTCTTGTGGTACATGTGTCTTCTCGCTGTCCACGAGGTGGAGCCAAGTGTGGTACCTTGGAAACACTGACCATGTGCATCATAGTAAGGTCACCCACGTCTCTCAGGTATTAAAGGCTCTGCTGAAATGACAGTTCTGCCCAGAGATGAATCGCCTTGCTCTGTTGTCTGGTCTGTCCAGAAGTCGCAGAGAAGACAAGGAGGGGGGGGGGGAGGGGTAGTCCAAGAAAGTGGCACATGTTCAAGATAAGAGCGCACTTGTGTTTCTTACGGCGTTTTAAAGACGTCAAGGAGGTGCAAGATACGTCTTAATGCTCTCACCTTCTTGGCTGCCTTGCTTCTAAAATTTACAACGTGATTATTCACATGTAGATATTTTGATATGTCGTGCCTAGGATATTCTCTTCATTTAATGACTCTCATATTCATACACATTATGGTGTCTAGAGACAATCATTTGTGCTTTCTCAGGAGCAAGTTAACCTGTCAGCACTCTCCCCTGGTTGATATTGCTGTAAGCTGGACACTGATGCGACTTAGATCAGCTGGCATTGAATAAGGAACTGTCAGAGTACAGACATCTGCATATGCATGGGATCCTGGGTGGAGGTGTTATGGTCCCAAGTGCACTTGGCCCATAACAATGGCCCAAGCACACTTCCCTGTGGAACAATGGCAAAAATACAGCCTTTTCTTGACTCTCTCTCCCGTTGAAAACTACACCTCAGTGACCACCCTCAAGGTGGTCACTGAGGATGTAGTACAAAGCCGGAATAAGTAAGTAAGTTTATTCAGGTATACACAAATACAGTTACATAGAATTATCATACATAGCAGCATATGTGTAGAGAACCTAGGATAACCCAAAAGAGTCAGACAGAGTGACTTATTTCCATTGGGGTCCTGGTGGTGGCAGTTTAGTAGAGTCCCTGGTGACATACTCGGTCTAAAGCACCAACATTGTCCAGTATGATCCTGGATTCATCCAGTGACTGGTACCACATATTGGAGAGGTTTAACAGGGGTCAGCTGCAGAATGACCTTTTCTGAAGACATACTGACGGTCACAAAGAAGCGAGTGGTGGTCCAAAAATGCTGTTAAATTCTTAGCGATAATAATCTCAAGGCATCTGCCGTGAGATTATTATCGCTAAGAATTTAACAATCGGGTGACAGGAGTGGCACTTGCCTGTAGTCGCTGATTACCGTTCTGATCATGTGGTGAACAGGGACTACACTTGTCTCTTTTCATGAAGATGATCATTTAGACTGTGATGACACTGCTGGGAGATGCTGGGCAGTGCTGATACATGCTTGCTGCTCTGCTTAGCTACTCAAAAATCTGGGTCCAGGGATTTAAGACGATATTCTAATTCTGTCTTATTGATACCTCCGATAACTTTGATAGTCTCTGTCTCTATCTCTCTCCGTCTCTATCTCTTTGTCTCTAACTCTGTCTTTCTCTCATTCTCTCACAGACACACACACACACACACACACACACACACACACA